CACGAATGTATGTGTTTTCTCTTTATTCCTGCCCCTCTTCTTCGCCTCCTCCCCCTCGCCTGCTGTTAGATCGTGATCCTCTACCTGAGTGCTCTTGGTTTGATCTGGCGGGCCTCTTCTGCCTCGATTCCAATTCTCTCTTCTTTCTCCCACTCGCCACCTCCCTCTCGCCCGGCACTAGACCTCCGATCTTCCCCCGACGTCCTTCCTCTTTCTCGTTGTTTGCCACCCTTCCTTGTCCCCGTCTCCTCCCTGCTCACCGCCGGGCCCCGATCTTCCTCACTATCTTCCTTCGCCTAGCCTCTGATGTAGTGCTCTTGGCTGACGTGGCTTCGTCTGCTCTTCACCCCTTCCTTTTCGCCCGCTGTCTTACCTCCTTCCCCTTTCTCCACCTCCTGTCACGATCTTCCATGACTGTGTGTGTTTCCTCCTTATTCCTGCCCCTCTTCTTCGCCTCCTCCCTCTCGCCCACTGTTAGATCGTAATCCTCTACCCGCGTTCTCTTGGTTTGATCTGGCGGACCCTTCTTTCTCCACTCACTACCTCCCTCTCGCCCGCCGCTAGACCTCCGATCTTCCCCCGGCTGACGTGGCTTCGTCGCAATCTTTCACGATTGTGTGAACTGCCCCTTTCTTCACCCCTTCCTTCTCGCCCGCTATCTTACCTCCTTCCCCTTTCTCCACCTTCTATCACGATCTTCCACGATTGTGTGTGTTTCCTCCTTATTCCTGCCCCTCTTCTTCGCCGCCTCCTTCTCGCCCACTGTTAGAGCCGTAATAGAACATAATCCTCTACCCGCGCTCTCTTGGTTTGATATGGCGGGCCCTTCTTCCTCCCATTCGCCACCTCCCTCTTGCCCTCCTCTAGACCTCCGGTCTTCCCCCGGCGGGTTTCCCCGCTGTCGACTTCACGTCCTTCCTCTTTCTCGTTGTTAGCCACCCTTCCTTGTCGTCACCTCCTCCCTGCTCGTCGCTGGGCCCCGATGTTCCACCCTATCTTCCTTCGCCGAGCTTGATTCTCTTCGCAATGTCACTACCTCTTACGTAGTGTTCTTGGCGGACGCGGCTTCGCCGTTTCCTCGTGCTCGCCGCTGGATTCTTTGTGCCGTGTCGAGGTCCCTTATCTTCCCCAGCTGTCTTCTTCGTTGTTGGCAGCGGCCTTTCCCGCTGTCAGTGTCGCGCCTCCTGCTTTTGGGGATGCTCACAGCGTTGTGTTCCTTCCCTTCCGTGTTTTTCTTTACATCGCACTACATGCCCTTTGCTTATGTTGGTGTCATCAAGGGCATCATGCCTCTTTGCGTCAACTGCCGGGGTGCTCGTGTTGTGCTCCTTCTCTGCCGCGTGTTGTGGTCCTTCTCTGCCGCGTTATTTCTCCCTCCGCACCACGTGCCCCCTCGCACACTTGGGTGTTACCATGGGCTCTCCCCACTTCGACTCCACCTGGCAACAGCCGCAGCTCTGACGTGGTGAAACCACCGCGGCTATGGAGTCCTACGTGGAACCCTCTCACAGATGGTCAGACCACCATGCACGTCAACCTGTGACGTGTCGTGGTCTAACGCCGATGTCGCACCGCGCGTGTGCTAAGCGCCTCCTCGTACTACCTCTGTTTTTATTCCATCTTATTCTGACCTATTCGGTCTTATCCTGTCTTGTAACCAGCATTCTGACGCAGTGGGGTCGGGTGGCTGTTTTCGAAAGTAAAGGAATTTTTAGGGGATGGACAGGGTGATCAGGAAGGAGACCCCACTGGTGGCCCCCAGTGGCTCCTCCCGGAACCCTGACCAGACAAAGGGCTGAAGAAGGAGATGGGGACCACCTGCTTTTCAGACCCATTGGTCGGGTCATACCCACACCTGCTCAGTCAATCCTCTGGACTCCAGAGTAATCAATGCTGGCAGGCGCCTTCCAGACATCTTCCTGTTACTCGTCTATGTTTCATGCTGTATTTTATTGCATAAGGTACGCTGGTCCCGTTTTCCAGCAGGTGCTGCTCCCCACCAATAGATGGAGCCTCACCCCAGGTGCTAGTGACGTCTGCTCACAACAGCTTCACTAGATCTGCAGGGACTGTGTGTTAAAAAAAAAAAAAAAAAACGCAAAAAAGAAGATACTGTAGATCAGATGGATAGGGTCTCCCACCATCTGACATATATTGTTTAACGTGCATACTTAGGTAGTTGGACATATCAATACATCTCTGCATAGGGACGCTGGACCCGTTTTCCAGCAAATACACTCACATCATTCTACAGGGACGCTGGACCCGATTTCCAGCAGATACGTGTTCATCATTGTACAGGGACGCTGGACCCGATTTCCAGCTGGTGTAGCTCCCCACCAATAGATGGAGCCTTCAATGCCGGCGCCTACTTACTGGGGATGCTCTTAGGTTTCCCGTATACGAAGTTGCTTTCAAAAAAAAAAAAAAAAGGGGCGCTATCATCATAGTGTCATGTGTCTATACCACTGGCAAAGCTGTTCTTGAATTGCACGTGTGACATCATACATTTTTGGCATGTGTCTCGGATCTGTGACAGAGGAAAAAGAATGAAGCTTTGATTCGTGCACGCCTTGTGCGCGATCAGGAAGACGGAATCACATTCTCACCAAAGCTGAACCAGCGAAGCATCCGTATTTTCCAAGAGGTGAGAGTGCCCAGTCACAATGTGGAACACACACAGGAAAGAAAGGCAATGACAGAGAGGGGCAAACACAGACACACACACACACACACACACACACACACACACACACACACACACACACA